ATTAAACTCCTTCAGCAATAACAGCAGCCGACACCCCCCCCCCCCAACACACACACACACACACACACACACACACACACACACACACACATACACTTACACACGCACGCACCAGCAACAAGCAAGGAAACAACCCCCTCCCCCTCCGAAAAAAACGACTAAACTAATAATAATACTAATAATAAAATGTTTTATAAAACAGAAAGAAAATCGAATACAGGAAGAGGAAGTCTTTTTTTATTTTTCGGCGTGCAACTTCCACATCCGTCTTATGAGTTCCATCCATTCTCAACTCAAAGTCTTTTCTGCTGGGACGCTGTTTCCTCTCAGTCCTGGTTGCCCCTGGCAGAGGGTTGAAGTCCCCCTGGTAATGGATTTTAAACTCAATTTACCAGGGGCCACTTGGATACAGTCTGAATGAGCCTAAACCGCCTCAAGTATTTCACAAACGAACGGGTTTTAAGTTTGGGGGTTTCTTCTTGGTTTTCACTACAACTTTGAAATCGCTTTTACAACTTTTCAACAAACACCACCGGAAGCTGTCAGGAGTCTGAGCTGTGGTTGCCCATAAGTGATTTAAAAAAACAACAGCCCAAAAATAAAAATCCCGGGGAACACCTTGGTACAAAAGTGCGAATGAGAAAAACAACGTGAGTGTCGCTCGAACACTTAAACTTAACTTTAATGCCAAGTAGCCCCCCCCCCCCCCCCCCCAAACAAGGGCGGTGCTACTTATACTTATTGAAGTTGTCTTTAGGCCATTCTCAAAAGGGGAATATTAACATGTTGTTTTGAAAAGTAGAATTGTAAATTAATTTCTGATTTACCAATGTCATGCTCATACTGTGCATGGACAACATAAAGGGAACTGCTGCTTTTTCTTTCTTCATCCTTACTATCGTCATTTTTTCCTCTACTTCTTTTGTATGTTTATCATTATCTTGTGAACTGCTATTTCTAGGGTGCCTTGATAGTTGAAGCAGACTTTGTAGGCCAACTGTTGAGGCTAGATAGATGAACAGAGTAAGCCTTCTCTGTTGAAATCCACCCTTTGCGCTAATATACCTTATACAGTTGCGAGCGCCGTAAAACCTTACCAAAACTAACTGAACAAGCACGGGCCGCAAACTATCGACCCCTGGGCCTCAGTTGGCCCGCAGGCCTCAAGTTCGACACCTCTGAGCTAAGGTGCCGCTACCTCAGAATTACAAAGTTCTATCTGACATTTTTGGCCGCTTTGAGTTGATAAGACCATGAGGTCAGCAAGCAAATGCTAGATCTGTTCTATCAAAATCCTATGATTATGTGGGAGTCTTTATAAGACATTCTAAGAATTGCATTAGAAAAAGGCTTGACATAATTATATAATTGTGAATCTCAACGGTTTTTACGTCAAATTTCTTATAATTAGGCTTTGAGCAGATAGAGCTTTGTAATTCTGAGGTAGCAGTGTGAGGATGCGGGCGTAGAAACATCTACATTAATTAAAAGAAGACCGTGACGTTATTGGTCAAGGATAAAGAACTGCTCGTATCGCTTCTGGAAATATAATAATAACCCGACACCAAACAGGAGAGCAGGAGTAATCCTCCAAACGGCATTCCTCTGGTACACGGTTTGATATATCTAGCTCCAGGCACGTCGACTTGCCGTTATTGCAAGAACGCTAACTAAAATGGCGGGAGCATTCTGATCCCATTTTTCACGATCTGACCCTTTAAATTGATGACAGACAGCGCGAGTTTCTGTCCTGAGATCGACCGTGCTGCTTTAAAAAAATCTAATTTAGAAAAAACGTTTAAAAAAAAAGATGGTTAACCGTTCTTAGATTGTGTGTGGCGCGCGCGCGCGCGCGTGTGTGTATGTGTATGTGCGCGCGGGGGGGGGGGTGTTAATGTGCATGTTTTTTGTTTTGTTTTTGTTTTCTTCTTGGGGATAGTGCTTAATAATGCTAGATCTAATTATGATCACTTTTGCGATCTTCCAAGCTGTTGCGCCGTTACTCTTTTCTGCTAAGGAATGTGTGATAGACTCTTCTGTAATAAATATATATATACATGCCTTTCACTGTAGCCCGGGCGGTCGTGCATTGGTACACATAACTTTGTTTTTCCAATATAAAGCTCGGGGAAGCAAATCACGATCGAAGGTTTCAAAGTTATTGGTTCTGACTCTCCCTTTGATCAATCCACACTGCCCTGTACGACCTCCCGATGCTGGCTCAACTGGTCGAAGAAATGTCTACGTTACTTAAATCTTCAAGTTCAATATCCCCCCTCCCCCTCCCCAATTTTCCGTGTGGGCATTATAGAACAGGAATATATATTGTTCATACCCCCCTCCCACTGTGCACGTTACATAACATAAGTATGTTCAGTACTACCAGCTCCCCTCCCCCCCCCCCCTCCCCCTTCCAAATCTGCTCAAGCTAGGTCCGAAATTGCTGATAATAGTGTGTACCTTAATACCGGGGGGTACAAAGAGGTAATCGATAGGAATCAACCCAGGGATTCTCTTAACAGAAACAGTTTTGATAGGGGTTCGATCTCTCCGTGCAGACTGGAGATACAGATCAGCGACTGGTGTGAGGTGCCGGTTTGGTAGTGTCTTGTTATTGCTACAGTTACCCCGCGTCTGCCAGTCTTTCTGTCTGTCTGTCTGTCTATCTGTGTGTCTGTCTGTCTGCCTGCTTGTCTGTCTGTCTGCCTGCCTGCGCCTGTCTGTCTGCCTGTCTGTCTGTATGTCTCTCTCCCCCTGTTCCTCCTTTCTCTCTGTATGCGTATGCGCGCGCGCGCGCGCGTGTGTGTGTGTGTGTGTGTGTGTGTGTGTGTGTGTGAGAGAGAGAGAGAGAGAGAGAGAGAATGTTTGTGTGTTTGTATGTCAATATTTGTTTTCCTCAACCTTGGTAGTCTAATGGTTAGGCTACCATTCGAAATACTCGTAATCGTGAGATTGCGGGTTTGAGGCTTCAAGCCTCAGGCCTGACGTTGTGACCTTGGGAATGGTTGTTAAATGCCTTTGAAATGGCAGCTTGCTCTGTATGCTTACCAGGGTGTTGAGATTGTTTCAGAATGCTATCAGGTCTGCTGGGGTTATAAATTATGTGATTTGACAGAGCTTAGAGCTTGATCTTGAACGGGAATTTGCACTATACAAATGCCATATATTATTATTATTTTTATTATTATTATTATACTTATTTGTATTTTATTTTTTAATTATTACTAATAATAACTTCTCACAGTCATGGCCATGAGGTGGAGATTTTGCCTCAACTACGAGATAGATTGAGAAATCTTCTATCAATTTCCAGACTGGGCTAATTTTCCCCCATATTTCTTACTTTCCTCCTTCCCGTCTCCCCCCTTCCCCTTCCATTCCCCCTGTATTGCCACAAATGCAAACATACATGCACACATACGTAATTTCGTAAACACACTCTCAAATTCACAATGATCAGGTCGGGGTTTATGTCTCGTCTCTCAAGTGCTTAAACTGAAAAGAGGACAACAAACTTTGCGAGCGTAAACACCTGTGGTTTTTAGCTGTTGATGTCCAGATAGCAGCGTCTCTCACTTTCCTTAAGTGATATGCTTTTCTGCCAAAACTTATGGTCAGTTGGTTAAACCTTGGTATGGCTTCGCTTGTAATCTTCAAGCGCTATTTACCCCAGGATCGAGACCCGATTAACTCTCTGTTGTCTACGAGGTGGTTGGCGCGTGCTCTGGTATGATTTGCTCCTAGCACCTCTACTTTTTTGCGCTTATATTACCTAATCGTGTTGCAAGTGCTGTAATACTATTGTGAAAACAAGATCCGACTGACAATCCTATGATCTTTGTGAAATTTCACCGATACGTCACTCGTGATCAAAATGGGTGTACCGTTAGCTCAATATGTATCACGATAACACATTGTCAGCGTCATTCCACAATCGTCCAAACCAATGTATGTGGGTGGTTGGCGGGTGCTCGGGCGTGGAATGCTCCTTCTGTCCTATGCAACATCTAGTGTCCTTATATCTCCTTCTTTTTATGATTGTTTTTATCTGTTCCTGGAATGGTTCTGAGAGTCATCCTTAGTGGAAGACTTGGCAATTTGTTCTACCATAGGTGGCCTTCACAAGCTTGACGATTTTGTCAAGTATTCCATAATGCTGCTTGAGTTTCCAGAGTTTCCTTGTCCATGCTGTCAAATGCCTTTTCCTAATCAATGAAGTTGACCATGAGTGGTGAATTCCATTCAAACAATTGCTCAACAATGATGCACAGAGTAGCGATCTGGTCCACACATGATCGGTTTTTGCAGAATCCTGCCTGGTTTCCTGGGAGCTTCTCGTCTGTTGCCAGCTTGATTCTCTCGAGGAGTATCCTGTTAAAGACTTTCCCAGGTATGGACAGGAGTGTTATGCCTCTGTAGTTACAATTGCTGAGGTCTCCCTTCTTTGGCAGCTTGATTAGGTGGCCTCCTTCCAGTCTGGTGGTATTTCTTCCTCTTGCCAAACCTTTTGAAATAGAGCATAGAGAATTTCCACTGATGTTTCTTTATCTGCCTTAAGGGCTTCTGGTGATATATGGTCGGGACCAGCTGCCATACGGGACTTCAATTCAGTGATGTTATAGCTCCTGCAATTTCCTCCCATGAAGGTGTTTCTGTACCTGTTGGGAGGTCATTTCTGGATTAAAGAATTTCTGGTTGGTTTTCTGGAGGTGGTCTCTTCAAGAGTTGATCAGTATTCTCTCCATCAGTTAAGTTGTCCCTCAGGGTTGAAGATATGCCATAAAACTTGCTTAATGAAAAATCACAAGGGGGGAGTAGGAAGTGGTCGTATGGACAGGTGATTGTCTTAGACAGGTTCTTGTTAGAGCAAGTTCGACTGTATTTAGAAAAAGGTGTTTTTTTATTTTCCAAGCTAGCCTACAAGTAAGCCCACAGCGATGGACATTATCTTGTTAGAGCAAGTTCCCCTGTAATTTGAACATTTTTTGTTGTTGTTGCAGACCAGCCTTGAAGCAAACAGTGATGACTTCTATACTGTGGCGATCCGACCTCATGGGATCTTTGGGCCTCGAGATCTGCAGCTCGTTCCAATCACAGTGGACATGGCGCGGAAAGGAAAGACCAAGTTCATCATTGGGTGAGTAAATAACTATTTTTTCCAGTGAAAGTGTTTCTTTTTAATGCAACTATCAGCACAGTTTAGATAATTTAGGAAATAGGCTTCAACCTTTCCCTATCAGGGCCAACCCAGACGGAGAGGGATACTACAAGCCGGTAGAAAGACCAAGATACTCGATGAAAATTCTCCCCATATGGGAAGCGAGCTCAAGACTTCTGCATGCAATGGCGAAGCAGCTAACCACTACACCATAGACGCAAGTAGTGGGTGAATGGGGTTATTATTTTTCAAAGTGGTAAGTTAGAGGGTTTTATTCTTTGAATAGTTTGTTAACTGATTCAGCCTGCAGCGCCACTCACAGTGGCTGGCTGTCTTCTGGGTTTTTACGCAGAGCCATTCAGAGGGGCTCTTATCTATTTCTCCCTTTCTTCACATCTCTTTCCTCTCTTCCTTTTTTCCTTACCACTTACATTTCAACCCTTTTTTCTGTGTCATTGAATAGTATTTTGTTTTCTGAATATCTACACGCCACACATAGAGATTTTATCAAATTGAGATATTTCTTCATTAACCTTTTCGTAGACCTCCCATGAGGAGACGAAGCTGTCATAAATTATTTGCATCCGGAGTAAAGATTATCTGCAGGATGAATAAATTAAACAACTCGATGGTCGTGTAAGGCCCCGCGCCCACTAGCAAAAGTTTCCATTCATCGCATAGAAGTGAAGTATGTCACTTGGCAGTGAATCGAGATGAGGGGGTGATTATTGCCTCATTTGCATACTTGTAGTCATGTGACCCGTAAAAGTTTTCCTCGTGTGCATGGAATCTCAAAGGAATTTCATAAAGTACCTTTTCTTTGGGCTCATTGTCATACACAGGTACACAGAGCAGACAGGAATGAATTTCACAGGCTTTTGATCAATGGGTACTACTACTTACCACCATCTGATTATTCCAAAATTTTGGAGGTTTTCATCAAAGAAAAAAGTGAGAAAAAAAACCCCAAAATATTAAGACTCTTTAGGTGCATATATATACTTATCAGGGGTCTCGAACTCACAGCCCGTGGGCCAAATGAGACCCACAGGATGATATTGTGTGGCCCCTACTTGACATCAAAGTACAGTGTTGGTGTGCCTGCCTCCCGCACATTTTCTCACTCACACCTTTTTGCTGTCTGAAGTGGGGCCCAGAATTTTTACAGTTTTTATCACTTACACAGATCATGCTTGTAACAGCTTCCAATAATAAAAATTAGTTTATGTTCTGAATGGGTGTTAATAGATATTGAGAAATTAGATTTGTTGACTTTCTTTTCGAGTACTTGATACCTTTTTTGGTGAATATTTGATGCAGCTCAGGCTTCTAATACAAGATTATAGACATTTTAGACAAAATTATCCTTAAATTTCAAGTCCCTGCATGCTCATTTCTATGGGGCATAAAAGTTCAAGGTTTATTGTTTGTTTGTTGTTGGTTGTTGGTTGTTTTTTGTGTTTTTTTTGGGGGGGGGCTTTTTTTGGAGGGGGAGGGGGGTTGTAGCCAATTGGCACCTGAATATTGATTAGGACTTGGATGAGGGGCAAATCGTTAACTACTTTCACCTTCACAGTCATGGTGGTTTATTGTAACTGTTGTCTGTTTTTTTAGTTGTTTTATTTCACTGAATTTCAGGGATGGTAAAAATGTGGTAGATTTCACCTACGTGGGTAACGTGGTGCATGGTCACATCCTGGCTGCAGAACACATAGGGCCCGGATCTCCCGCCAACGGAAAGGTAATCGACCGTTCCATCCTGTATTCCTTCCTGCTTACCTTCCTTCTATTTATCTATGTGTCTGTCTGTATGTATGTTTGTATGTCAGTCTGTCGGTCGGTCTGTCTGTCACCAATCTATCTTTTTCTATCTATCTATCATATATAAATACAAATTTTCTCTCTCTCACTCTGTCTCTCTTTCTCACTCACTCACTCACCCACTCACTCGTTCACTCGCTCACTCCCTCACTCTCTCTCTCTCTCTCTCTCTCTCTCTCTCTCTCTCTCTCTCTCTCTCTCTCTCTCTCACACACACAAACACCCTCACCCACACACACACACACACACACACACATGCAAGCACTCGTACATTTTTATGTTATATTTTATTATATTCATTATAAGTTCTGGTGTGTGCAATTTAGAATGCTGATGAAAGCCAAACAATACAATTAACTGATTAACTGTCGACACAGTTTAAGTTGGGCAACATATATACTTGTATGTCTTGTTCTGTCCCATTTCTTTTTACCTAATCTGTATTGTCTCTCTCCAGGCTTATCACATTACCAATGACGAGCCCATCTTCTTCTGGACCTTCATGACCAGGCTGCTCACCGGCCTGGGCTATCCGGCCCCCCGAATCCACCTGCCCTACTCCCTGCTCTACGTGGTTGCCTTATTCCTGCAGTTTGTGGCCTGGATTGTCAGTCCGCTGGTCATCTTCACCCCTTCCCTCTCGCCCATGAAGGTGGCGCTGGCCGGCACAGATCATTTCTACAACTGCGAGAATGCCAAAAGAGACTTGGGTTACTCCCCCGTGTTCACGCTGGACCAGGCGCTCAAGTTGACCATTGAGAGTTATCCAGAGATGAGAAATCCTGAGGAGAAGAAGGGGTCATAATCTTGTACTAGCTGAGCTTAGACGGTTGAAATTATTTTGTAAAGATGTTTGTCTCCATTTTGGTATTTCAAAGTATTTTTGAAAGTATCTCAAAAGTCGTACCAAAGTATAACAAATGATGTTAGATGACATTTTTGTTGTTGATGTTTTGATGGATACCAGTACTTTCAAATCCAGGATGTTTAAGTAGTGTTTCTTTCTCAGTCAAGACACTTGTATTTGTTTAAAAACTGTCCCTCTAAATCTTGAACTGGTGCCCTGTTGGAATTGCTCTTGTGATTGCAACTTTGTTTATATCTTAAGGGACTTCAGTTTTTCTCCTCTCTGTTGCCGGATTTTTAACATGGTTAATTTTTTTTCCTTGATCATAACCTTTTGAAGACTTTATTTATGTCAAGCAGATAGCTATCGTTTGTATCTATGAACTGGATGTAAAGTGGCAAATGTTATTTTAAAATGATGTATTTGTGAAAAGAAGAAGTGCTTGGAAGAGCCTGGGTTATTAAACCCAGAAAGACTTGTGTGGACCACAGTGTTTACTGAGATTAGTAAGAGCTTATGAATGACCTAATATGTTTCTTCAAGACTTTCGGTGTCAGTGTGCATGGTTGATTAGGTATTCGTCACTGCTGGAGCAGTAACTGTATTCTGATTTAGTGCGAAGTGTTTGGTACTGATTTTTTTCACCTGACTATTTTATAGGTCAGTTTTGATGTTTTTTTCAATTCTGTACTCTAAGTTTACTTGTACTTATTTATGTTGATCTTGTTTTTATTGTTTCTGTTGAACTACAAGAGGGCAACAAGCCTTTGCCAAAGTTCACATGTTGATTTGCTCAGAGCTATTATTCAAATCTTTTTGTACAAAACTGCTTTTTTTTTGCCAAGTTTTAATTAATGACAGTGGGGTAGTGTTGTTCTATCCGTAGTAAGAAGGAAAGTTTTAGAAATGGTTGTCGCTGTTTTTATACATCTGTTATACGCTTCTGTCTGTTTATAAAATCCCTATCTGGACTGTTATTTTTTGTTCGCTGTTATGGAATAGTTCCTCCTATATTTCAGAACGAAGATGTTGCCATTTCCCCACTATGTAACAGATTATTCAGCTTTGTGCTGTCCTCACTGTGTTCAAACTGGTGTCTGTTGTTGTAGCGGTTAGGTGCTTTGCAGTTACATGCAGGAGACGTAAGTTCAATCCCCAAATCTAGCACCTGCGTTTGTCGCGGTCGCGATTTTTGGCATTTTTTTTGTCCGCGAATCGCGGCTGCGATTTTTGCATTTTTCAAAAAGAAAAGACTACTTCATGTGTATTTTGATCATTTTAAGGTGTCCATGTTTAGTTATTTTCACGCTAAGAATAATAATAAGTACATTACATACTCTTTATTATATTGCTGTTTGTCTTTTATTTTTCCCTCTTTGTCGGTGTGTTATTTTTTTGGAGGGGGGTATTTTTCTGATCTATTTGTGTGTCTGTTTATACAGCGTAATGTCATTTAATTTGATGTTCCTACATTTAACCAAAAAAAAAATTTTAAAAATGTATAAATGTGTTATGTTAGAGCGTGTCTCCACCAAAACCGAAAACTGACACTGGCAGGCCCCTTGTGTGTTATTCCATAATTGACATCCAGTACTTTTTCTTGAATTAAACACGTTTAGGGTTAAAACGGCCAATCTTCGGATAGGTGGACACACGCCCTTATTTGTTACTTTTTTGCGGTTGTTTGTGTGCTATTCTAATTTTGATTTCATTCTGTTGTGAAACCTTTATTTTTCACGTTTTTACACTCTATGTGGCTACAAATAATATTCTGGATGCTTAAAACAGAGCACAAGAAATTCTGGTGCTTTAGATTAAGTTACCTCTATCAATATATTACGTCGTCACAGCTAGTTGAAAGCCTGAAAATTATTGGCAACTTTTTTTGGCAACTTTTGGCATTTTTGTGGCAACTTTTGGACAAAAAAATGGCAACAAACGCAGATGCTAGACAAATGGGGAAAGTTTTTATCAAGTATCTGTGTCCTTCTTCTGAGATGCTGTATCCCTCTCTGCCCATGTTTAGCCTTGACAGGCATGGTGAAAGCACACCTACATTTTTTAAAACGCATTTGAAGGAGTGCATTTTTAGTTCCCCCCTGGTATTATGATAAACTATTCAATTGATTTCTTGCTACTGTTTTATTTATGGTTATTGGGTTTGGTGTCGTATTAAAGCTATTAAACCTGGACTCGTTTTACAACCTGATGTGCTGCAGCAATTTCGCATTGATGAAGGATCTGATCAGATGTTAACTAAAGCAGAATTACTTTAAATAATCGCTGTTGTACCAATTGTGATACAGATTCAATTTCTTAATCAGATAATCCATTATGAGCGTTTTGGATTTCCTATTCAGATCTGTGAGTGGTTGTCAGGTGTCCTTTTTTTTTATCAAACCAGTATCGTCCTTATCTCTCTTCCTTTTTTTTTTTTGTATGTCCCTCTCTCAAAGTAACACCTCTAATTTTCGGCACTTACATGACCTATTTGTATTGCAAGTGTAGTAAAATTTTGTTAATGCTTTTAAGATCTAATCAGTTCTTGTTCTTGTTGGATGATGGACCAGTTTGAATGACTTATGATTGACTTTTACAAGGTCACGGTTTCTCAATGTATTTTCTGAATAGGCTTAAGAAGACATTTTTGTGTGTGTGTGTGTGTGTGTGTGTGTGTGTGTGTATGCACTTATCTGTGTGTGCATGTGCATGTAACTATGTATTTTGTGGTTCTTTTGTGAGTGCATTTGTATATATGATGTTTGTGTAAATGCGTTTGTAAGAACTAAAGAGTGGGGGGGGGGGGGGGGGGATAGGGCTCATGAAAGTCAATGTGTCTTTCTTCATTTGATATGCATAAGCAAATAAGAGTCTACATGTTGTTCATGGTTTCCTGTTCTCTGCGTTACTGCTTCTGACTGGCGATACTAATGGTGTTCGAATTCGGTGTGAATCTTGACAACTGATCCTGTTTTCTTATTATGGAATCTAAAGCCTCCTCACTGCGCAAAAAAAAAGGGATGCAAGCAATATATACTTTGCAGTCTGCTTCTATATACTTGCTTTTGTTATTGTTTTTGTAGCACCTGGAGTTAAGCCTTAGAGAGGTAATCGTTTAAAGACTTATGTACATATTGAGTCAGAATTTCACTTAGCACATACTGTATATCATGGTGGATAGGAAGCATACATGGATAAGATACAGGTAGTAGACTTGACAGCTAAGATTTCAGTGTAAATGATATATCATCAGATAAGATGCATCAGTTTTTGTCATGGCAAGACCATTACAGAAAAGCTGCTCATTTTATTTTCAGAAGGCCAAAGCAAAATAATTATAGTACTGATCCATGTGTAAAAACTCTTCATTGTCACAACTGAAAAGGCCTTTGATCTCGTTATCATTCATCTCAACTGCATCATCCCCGTCATGTAAAGTCGGACAGTTTGTGTTTTTGTTCCCTTGGTCAGTCCCATCTGGATTTTTTGGGTCTATTTTAGTATCTCATGGATAAGGTGCAGGGCGACTTTGAAATCCTGATTATTATTTAACTTATAAATGTCCTATACGCTATGATATACAGTTCTGACTTACCTTTTTTAAGGAAGGAGATGTCCTCTGAAGATATTTGTGAGGCGGCGTGGTGGAATCAGGCTCTCGTCAAAATAATCAAAGTGAAGAAACTTGCATTTTTCCACAGGTTTGTGAATTTTTATCAAATTTTTGTTTTTGGCTCAACACCTTTCATGTCCATTAAAGAACTCATTTCTGTGTGGATTTTTCTGAAAAACGTTGATTAAAGACACAAAAAATGTAAATTTTCAGTTACCACGGACTGTTAAGCTAAGGAAAAAACTACTTTTTGGTGGCCATTTTCTCACTAATTTTACCTCTGAAAACACGTGACCCCACCTCCTTCATTGGCAAATATCTTGACTTGTATTCAAGATAAATGGATATTTTTTCATTGAAATAAAGGCAAGTGAACAAGCTTTAAGATGATACCAATAACTCTACATGCCCAAAAATTGACGAGAGCCTGATTCCACCACGCTACATCACATTTCTTTCATGTATTGTTTGATTAGTTTTGCTAGATTGAAGGAACTATGCAATTTGTTGTTTTTATTGTCAAGTGGTTTCGTGATTTGCATGCTGTGCCATGTGAAGTATTGTCGAAATTTTTGAAGACGGCTTCCCGTTGTAGAGGAGGAAAGTGGTTGTTCAGACAGGTGGATGATTTGAACATTGTCATTAATAAGACTCCCAAAAAAATGTTTAACGAGGGAGGTTGGGAGGTGGTGGCAAATGATCATTTATAAAAGTGAATGTATTGGACAGGTGGCAGTCAAAGCAGGTGCAACTGTACCGTGTATCAAACTTTTAATCAGTGTAAAGAATTCAGTTTTTTAAAAATTAATGTTAAAGAATATTGGACATTGATCCTCTGTGGAGTTGTTTTATTTTTTGTTTTTGTTTATTTGGGGGGGGGGGTAGGGGGAGAGGGGTTACTGCATCAACTTGTAAGTAGAGGTTTTAACTTGGAAATGCAGCTAGCTTTAATTTGTTTGTAGTAGGGGAAGTTGTCAAGCTACCAATATGCCAGAGCTCAGGCATAAATGGGACTTGCGCTAAGGGTTACCTGTTTCATTTGAATCCCCTAAAAGTAGTGAAAGTGTTTATTTAAACAACAGTGATGATTAATTTGGAAAAGTTAATGTCAACCTAGCCATACAATGCAGGCCTATGCAATGCAGGGCTTTAAAGTAATAGTCTGATGAGGATGAGAAAAATATAAGGTCTTCTTCAGCTTCCCAACTTTGACTTCTATTTCACTGTCAAGTTCACAACTAATCCCCCATCAGTGTCTTGTCTGATGTCTACAACCACAGAGAGATTGTTTCGAATGTACAGTCAGTCAGTTTTCTTTTGAGTATTTAAACTCACAGGATGTATTTGTATGTCGTATAAGCCGATTTATTCATATTGTTTTGCATGAATTGAGCTGGGACATAGGGCCTAATTTTTTACTCAGTCATCTGTTCTTTAGTGGACAATACTACTGATGCTAAGTTTCTATTTATGATGAGTTAGGACAATAGCAGCCTCATTATGCCATGACTGATAGAGCAGAATAATGGCAAAACTGAAGAAAAGGGTTGGATGTTTTGTTTGAGTAAAGAGATACACATCAACTCAATCATGATAATTTGCCGCATGGAAAAAGTACGACTGACAAACAGAAACAGCAGAGGGAGAGAAAGAAATAGGACCTACCAGTGGCACCCTCGAAACCACCAGCTTTGAAACGACTATGTTGTAGTAGTAAAATTACTAGGTCAAGCAAAATTCTAAATTTAAACACTTTCTGCTAAAAAGAAATATCCTTATCACGACTGTAAAAATAAGACTCACAGGCTCGATGGACAGCTTAGGAAGAAGAAGACTATTACCGGTATTAAATCATATCTCTGAGGTCTTCATGGCTGAGCAGTGGAACAGATGATGGTCTACAGTGTCATGTTACCAGCGACACTCCACAATGTCCCAAATCTGTTTCTTGGAGTTACCCATAAAAAGATAACAAGAAAACTTTACGTCGAATAAAGCCATGAAGAGGCATGGCACAATATAGTTTCGATCTGTCTGGTTATTTCCTTCCTTATTTTTCAATTGAATTCCCTTGCTATAGTTCTGATTTGGATGCTCTCTTATTCTTTAATTTTCTCTGTTAAATTCTTCAAGTAATGATTTTGGGATTTTTGGAATGATGTTGACGATAATTGTAGTCTCACCAAGTTTGGGAGGGGGGGGTTGTTAGTTGGGTTTTTTTGGGTGGGGGC